CTCAGTGCAGTCCTCTGGTCTCTTACTACTCGGGTGCCAAACAAAAAGTCTTTGGGACAGACTTTCCTATGGTCAGCGCCCTGAGCATCCGGCCACTAGAAGCTTTGTTTCCTAAGAAGGCGCCTCCTCTCCTCTTGGACTCACCAACTCACTGCTCCACTGGGTCCCTCTGTCCTCCCTGCGGGGTGCTCCTTCCCCTCTCCTCCACTCAGGGTGTGAGATTCCCGCTTTTGGATGTGGGTCTGCACTCCCGAGGGGAGGGAGCTTTGCGGCCTCCAAGCATCGGGGCTTGGCGCCCAACACAGGCTTCAGGGGGGGCTCCCCCTTCCTGTGCCCCCCTCTCTTACCAGACTCTATGATGTTTCTTCAGTGCTCCCTACTCGCACTCCATCCACTCAGGTATGTTTCTCTGAATTTTCCAAGCTGGCTACGTAGTATTTTATGAGTAAATAGAGTCTGTGGCTGGGAGCGGGGGCACTCTGCCACTTCTCACAGTGCTGCCATTTTCCCTCTCAGGGAATTCTTAAGTTTATTTTATAGATTATATCCAGGGTTTCTAGTTGTACTTAGCATGAAGAATAAGAAAAAGTACATCTGCTCCATCTTTCTAGAAGCAAAAGCTCAAATCTTGATTTTTTTAAGCAATAATTCTTCCCCATAAGTAACCCTGGGAGACAGGATAGCACTTTTCTATTACAGTGGTTACAAACTGAGCGCCTATTACTTAAACAGGCAGCAGGGTGGTTTTCTTTTTCTAATTTAATTGTTTTAGGGGGACATGCTGTACTCTCCAATTTTCCATAGGTCCCTCCTACGTCTGCTTAGCTTGTTAACTATCCCCTGTAGACATCTGCGTTTCCAAACTCTGATTTAATAAACAGATCATGAGGCCAAGCTATCAACAATGGATTACAGCCATGGATTCTGAAAGATCATTCTCAAGCTTCCCTTTTCATAGACAGTACTCAATTTAAGAAATATTAACTAAGACTTAGTTCAGGCATAATGAAGCCTTTCTCATACACTGCATTCCACTTCCCTCCAAAGCCCTTCAAGAAATTTTTGTTGAGCATCCAGAATTTAATCACTGTACTAACCTGTTAAATGATTAAACTTAGTACAGGACCCTCTCCATATTCTTTTTCTTTAGAATGTTTAAAGAAGAGATCTAACTACTGTGGATGAGGAGAGGAGAAACAAGAGAAGTACATAGAGGTGATGATGATAACGGTGATGATGGAGCCAGAAGAAGGAGGATAATTACATTGAAATTACAATGTCCTAATTTCCTGAAGGCCGGCCATAATCAAATCCTTTTGGACAAAACAGAATTGAAGAATGTTCTAGAAAGAGAGAAATTTAGAGACTTACAACCTAATCCAAACTCTTATCCATACAGATAAGAAAACTGACAGTCATTGATTATACAAGGTCACAAAGCTAACCAGTACTATTCCATTATGTTCCCCCTTCCTGGCCTAGTTCTACTTTCCCAGCAATGGAAACTGATGAACTGTGTCAGTTTTAATAGTTCCTAAAAACATTTCAGTACAATTCTTAATTGTATTATTTCATCTAATCTATGGAACATTACATTCTGATCTTGTTCTTAAATTTATTGACAAATTCAAGAGAGAATTTTACTCTGTTAGCCCAGAACAAATGAAAGCAATTGAGCAGTTGTGGGGGTGGGGGGAAAACAAAACAAAACATTTATTATATTTCTTCTAGGAGTCTTGATTATCAGTCAAATTTTCAGGATGCCTTGGTATTGAAGCATACATTTATTAATTTAGTGGATCCACAAATCAACATAATAGCTATATACTCTTTCATCGGTCACAATGTTTCTCAAACTTCTGCCATTTCATATATTGCCTCTACAAGTTTGGTTTGCTGTATCTGTATAGCACCTGTACTAATATTAGTATTTCCCTTTATATGGACTTTGAATCCACTCTTTTTTCATAATTCGCCTAGCTCTAGGCAATAACATCTGTTAATTACAAGTTTGATATGCTAGTTTTTCTAATACTCATTAAAATAATTATATAACTGTTAAAAAATGTTTATGGGCATACCATCTAAACTCATCTGATGTGAAACCAGTGATATTCTTACCACACTTTGGGTGAGTTGATCCTGAGCTGTCAATTTATGATATGAGTAAATAATAAAACAATCATCTCCAAAATCCAACATGAGTTGCTAATTATTCAGATTTGTGGACATGTACCAGAAACGTATGATCCCATCACCAATTTCAACAAATATTAACCTCAGAAACCTAGCTTTTCAGATTTTATTGTGAGAACCCTGACCTCAGAGATTCTGATTCACAGAACAGGATGGAGTCTAAGGAAGCTTCATTTTTGCAGGCACCCCAGCAAGTGCTGATGTGAGAAGACCCAAGGGCCACATTTTGAAAAACAGTGGGCTGGGGGGTGGGACAAATTTTAAAACTCACTCTAGTTCCTCAATAGGATCACTTGGGTTCAAATTCCAGTTCTGACTGTATGATACTAAGCAAGTCAAGTAACCTCTCTGAGGCTTGGTTACCTCATCTGTTAAACAATGATTATAATAAAAGCTACATCACTGGGTTATTTTAAGGCTTAAAAGGATGATATGTCAAAATCATAGAGCCCTGTACGTGCGAGAAGGTTGATGATGATGTAGAACCACTCTCAGCAGCCAACCACTCTCAGCAGCCTACCACTCAGAAGACAGTCAGCATTTCAAATCAAGATACAAGTGCTCTGCTTCATATTAACATTGCTCCCACTTAATTACAAACCTTGAGTTTAACCTATAATAAATGAACCCCCAAACTGAATGTGTATTTTAACTAAGACATTTGCACAATGACAATCTCAAATATTACTGACTGATGGCTACAAATTAAATTCTCAAGCAATTGTTTCTGGACCTTTAGGGAAAACCCCATGCAGTGGTTCCTGGGCGAGAGGTGTCTCAAAGGCCCATCTTGGTTACTCTGATTTTAAGAACTACTTTATAAGTAGCATGTAAAATTATCCTTGTGATTTAGAATAAAAACTATTTATTACTATTTTTTAAAATCTTGCTCCTTGGAAAAAATATAACTTCTGAATAATAATTTTTAAGGGCAACTTTGCAGATTTGGCTATAGCGCAAATATAATAAAGATAATTATAAGACATACTGTTTTACAATCATTCATGAAAGGCTGTAATTATGATCTGATGTATGTACTTAAAATTCAATTTGCAAAATATATAAAAGCCTTAGTTTTTTATGAATACCATCTGTTAAATCATTCCAACATAAGCCAACTCTGCCACACAAAATTTGTGAATAAACTAAAATTGGAAAAAAAAGACCTTTTAGTTGCTTTGTGTTAAAGTACAGACTCAGTCTGATCTATTAGTGTAGAGGTTAGAAAGCTATGCACACAGTCAACATTCACTCTTTTACAGAACCCACACAGCACTAACAAATATTCAACCAAATGAAAACATTACAATTAAATCATAATTGTCCGTACAGAAAATCACTCTCTGCTAATATAGGTCCTTGAGCCTCTCCACTTAGCAGGGCAGTTTCTCAGCTAAAGTGGGGGCAATAGGGTGACCCGGATGAGTGGGGTCAGCAGCTGCTCAATGACCAGCCACTCAGGCATTGGTGATTCAGCTGATGTTTCTCCCACCAGGAGATGGCATATTTGCCCAGCGGGGTTTTGAAGGCCAGGAGCCCCAGCTGCTCCTATGTGGGAAAACACAAAAAACAAATAGCAGGGAAACCTATTAAGGAATATACTGTCATTCTTCTGGCTGGGCACATTATCCAATTTCTACTAATCCACAACCATGCTTTCCTTTGGCAGGTGTAATCAAAATCATCCGACAGCTTGTAGGAAGCAAATACAGCATGAAAGGCAAATTTCAATTACATAGCCTCTTGAGCCAATCTTTGCACTTGTTATATTATGAGCTAAAGAGGAACTGAGCTGTGTCCTTAAACAAGGAGCAGTTATTATGAATGAATTAGGATCTTTATTGTAGCTCTTGAATTGTTTGTAAGATTTGATGCCTGGCAAGGACCATGATTTTGAGAAACTGTTGACTGAGGGTAGTCTGGAATACGAAATGTAATTCGCACATACTTGTGAAAATCAATTATCTCTTATTAGCAGGCAAAAATTACTATAATAAACTTCGGAAACCTCAATTCAAGCAAACATGACCTGAAATGTGAACATGGTTTCATTTAATGTACCTGTTAATAGTTTATTTACATTAAAACAACATTAATCTTTAACCTAAAAGATGGAGCACCCAAGTTTTTTATTTGTTAATTGATTCAACAAGTATTTAATGAGCACCTGCTAAGTTCCAGGATCATGCTAGGGAAGCAGTGTTGAGTAAAAGAGCCCCAGCCCCTCTCTGTTGGCAAGGAGCTTATCATTCTTTAGAATGAGCAGGAAATCCAACTTTAAAAGTAAAAAAGATATTTCTTATTTCATTAAGAACTAAAAAAATCAGGCTGCCCATACAATATTCTTGAGATTTTGCAAAATTTTTACATTCTCTTATCACGTATTAATGCTGAATACCCACGGGTAGTATCTGAATACAGAAAAAAATTGTGACATTAGAGAAATACTGCACATCAGACGTTTACTGAAATTCAGAATATTAACAAAGAAGAGATAGGTATTTATTATAATAAAATAAAAAAGGAATATATAATATATATTGAATCGTAAAATGAAACTGGATTTTTAAGAATGATTATAATCTAAACACAGCTTTTCTTCTCAATTTCAAAATTATGACCACATATACTAGATCTTGGTAAGATTTCTCTTTTCAGGTCTAACAACAGAGAACCTTTCAGCCTTGTTTCTGAGCAAATGGTCATCCAGCAACAAGGGGCCAAAGTCTCACATGAATTAAAATTGCAAAGCTTCTTGGCCACTTAGCATATTGAAAATGAATTAAGGACTCAATGCTGCTTACCTTGTAATCTCTGGATACATTTTCTGATGTCACTGACCCTGAAATCTGACTAGAAATTGTAGCAGCTATAAGCTGTTTACACCATTCAACATGTGATCCTGTAGGACTAAAAGAAATAATGTGATTAAAATACTTTAAGACATAGGTTCTTGGTGAGAAAAATGAGCACTGACTGGGGATATATGTACATTTCTTTTTTCAGACAAACTTTTATTAGACTATTTTGTTACCTTTACATTTAATATAAGAAATGAAATACTGATTAACAACTATAAAGTAAGATTATCTTCCAGTTTGATTTTAAATGAATCAAAAATTTATTTTTAAGTTTAAGAATCTAAGCAAGTTATTCCCTATCATTTAATGGGATTTTACTCTTACAATTAGAGGCGTGGGCAAATGTAGGTTTACAGTTGTTCATATAGAAAATAATACAATAATTAATAAATAATAATACAAGAATAAACTTTTTCATATTCACAACTGTAAACCTACTTTGCCAACCCCTATATTCAGAATGGATATTCTTAATGTGCCATATACAGAAAATTAATTCTAAAGTGAAATATTTGTCTTACAGCATACGCTTTTCAAACATCCAATCGATTTCATGTTGGTAGTTTTAAATCTAGAAAATAATGTAATTTTGAATAAATCAAAGTGGCTCTTAATGGAGCAAAGTTGATTATGTGATTTTAAAAGGAACAGAATAGAAAAATGACATACTGTGTCTAGTAATAATGCTTTCTTACATTTCTTTTTAAATATATCTTTATTGAGTTCAGAGAGAGGAAAGGAGAGGGAGAGAGAGATAGAAACATCAATGATGAGAGAGTCATTGATCGGCTGCCTGGCCCACAACCCGGGCATGTGCCCTGACCGGGAATCGAACCCCGATCGCCTGGATCCTAGGTCGACGCTCAATCGCTGAGCCACGCCCGGCCGGGCTCTTACGTTTCTATAAGTGCTTTAATGAGTTACAAAAGGTTCTTCCAGTCCTTATTATCTCAGAGCCTCACAACTATGGTGTCATAAGAAGACAGAACAGGAATTGCCAACTTGTTTCTGAGATGAGATAATTGAGGCACAGAGGGGACGTGCCTGGTCAGAAAGTGGCAGGCCTGCCTTCAGCTCCATTAGGGCTATCCTGCCAGAACATGGCACAACTAATAGTGGCACACTCACTGAGCTGGAGGGCAAAGCAGAGGCCAGCACTACAGATGCTAGCCACTGCTTTATATGAAAATACTACAATGCAATGAAAATGGCACCTTCCACTTGTATGGTGCTCTAAAGTATTCAACACATTTCTACACACAGCCTCACCCCAGCTTCACAGTGACCCATCTTAAAGATGAGAAAACTGAGGTCACATGACCAAGGTCACATGACTAGTAAGTGTTTGGGCTGTGCACTCCTGACTTCAAGAACCACATAAGCAAACTAGGCATAGAAAGAATTGCCCCTAGGGCCCAGGTTTCTCTATCAATTGGTCAAAGCACAAAATAAATCAAGCAAAGGGCAAAACATGCTTATGAAAATTTACCTTGCAGGAAGTTTTCACTGTAAACAATGTTCCAGACCTTTAAAAATCTCATCACTAATTAAACCCACACTCATGTATTGGAAGGATAGAAAAACCTAGATTCCCTAGGCAGTATGTAAAATAACCTAAATAGTAAAATAAAGATATTTGGTGTTCTCTATTAGTGATCTAAATTTCAATCTCTGACCAAGATCGCTCAGTGGTTATCTGTGGAACTGAAAATATAAGTAAAAACATTCCCTGAATGGGCAGATATTCCTATGATACATCAATAATTCACTTACCACAATTTCTAACTAATAAGAAGAAGGAGGGGAAAGGGAGGGATTTTAGTCTCCTTTTATTGCCCAGTTACAGCATACTTTTCTTATCATGTAGCCTTTTTCTCTGCTAGCACCTACCCCTGATTGCAAATCTAACAGTAGAAACCCGCCTGTTTACCCACCATGGGTGACCTGTTGTTACCATCTACCCAGCACCCTTTCCCCCTTCTTCTGATAAGGGCACTTCTCTCTACTGTGGGGAACAACCTCCACAGCTTCATAGGCCTCCAGAGGGGAGGGAAAAGGAGAGTAGCTGACCCCTTGCTCCTCCTGCCCCCACTTGTAGGGAAGTGACACAGGCTGGGCCAATCCCAAGCTTTTCTCTTAGATCCTGGATCCACCCAAGCCCATTGAAGGCTGCTCCCTACCCTCACCACCTTGAGGAACCCACAGAGATAAAGAGTAAGACAAGAAAAAAAAAAACCACAGATGTAGGGGGGCCCTGACAGCATTGCAACTCTAGAACCAAATGTGCCCATGGCCATTTATCCTCATCTGCAGCAGTGATGTGCACCAAGACAGTTTCTTTTTGGCTTAAGCTAAAATGATTTGTGTTTTTGTGACCTGCAAGCAAAAGTGTACTGGCCAACAAAGTTACAACAGCATGGTTTAGTGGGAGGGTAGACCTGGATTCAACTCCTATTTCTGTCACTTGCTAGTTCAATTATCTTGAACAAGCCACATCCTCTTGCAGAACCACAGATTTGACATCATTAAGAAAAGTACTATATTAGGAAGACAGGAGAGTGTCCCACAGTCCACAGGGTGAGGCTGAGCCACAGCCAGAGAGCCAGGTTCCACTCTTAAGGTCACTCTTAAGAGTGTGAATCAGAACTGTGAATGATAGACCTGAGAAAGGAGGCCATGTCTCCTCTCCCCAACCTCTTCTCTTTAGTCTGTGAAATTTCCCTCCACATGCCTGGTATAACCACTTGGTGCCTCCCAGCCTTGTTTCTCCAACCTGGACTCTCCTTCTAGAAGTGGATGCCTATAATCCTAGGAGACAGCTCCACTAAACAGTTCCAGAGACTCTGTCAAATCAATCTTTCTAAACCAGCATCAGCCCCATGTTTTCAAAATTAGGGGAAAGCACAGACAGTTACCCAGGTCCCTAAGTCCTGAAAGCTGGGGTTTACATTAGAACCCATCCACCCTCACTTCACTCTCATATCTGATATCATGAGAATGCACCTTGCTCAATTCCTATTCCAGTTTCCTTTTCCAGACAGCCATCATTCTTCTGTGTTCTCCTCCTGCCTCATGAATTTAAGCCCCATCTCTATGCTTCAACTCCCAAACTGAGGTCTGAAGCCCAGATACCACCTCTGAACTCCAGGCTCATATAAACCAACTGCCCCCAGGACATACAACTTGCATCTCATAACTGATATATCCAGAGCTGAGAGCCTGCCAATCTCCTAAAACTGTTTCACTTAGAGACTTCTCCATCTCAGCAACACCACTTCCTACAAGCCAGAAACCTTGGGATTGTCCTGGATTCTTCTTCTATCTTACCCAACAACCAATAATCAGCAAACCTTATTGCTCTACCCTGGACCTTTTCTTCAAATTATATCCAGAATCTGATCATTTGTCATTCCCACCCTCCCCCAACCCCACTGGTCTAAGCCATCATCCCCTCTCACTTGGATGACTGCAGTAGCCTCCGACTTGCTAGTCTCTATGCTTCAACCCCTTCTCCTTTTGGTCTGTTGTCCACACAGCAGTCATGGAGATCTTACTGAAATCTACATCAGATTATGCCATTTCTCTGCTCCAAAACCTCCAATGACTCCTCATGACTCTCTACCATCTGCCCCTATGACCTCTCTGCCACTCGTCCCCTACTGCTCTCTCCCTAGCTCCCTCCCCGCTAGTGGCACTGGTCTCCTTCCTGACCCTTGAACACTTCGATCACATTCCCACCTCAGGGTGCACAGGCCTCTGCCTAGAATGCAATTGTCCCAGATATCTGTATGACTGGATCCCTCACCTCTTTAGGGACATTATTCAAATGTCACTTTCTCAGCTAGGCTTTCTGTGACCACCTTACATAAAATTCCAACCACTCCCCAAGTGCATACTCCCAACACTTCCCATCCCTTTCCCAACTTACTTTTCTCCTCTAGCACTTATCACCATCCAGTAAATAACACATTTCACTTATTTTTTTGTTTCTCTCACCAAACATACATTCCTCAAGGGCAGGAATTTGTGTCTGTTTCCTGTTGTACCCTCAGCCCAACACAGTGCCTGACACAGAGTAGGCATACCTATTTGCAGAAGAAATGAGTGATTAGCATTTCCATAGTGTGCTAAAAATAAGACTCCCCACTTCCAGTCCGTTCGCAAAGCAACATTACTGCAAAGCAACCAGTCCGTTCACCACATTACTGCAAAGCAATCATTCTCAAATGTCAGTCCCATCCTGTAGTTCACCTGATGGAAATCCTTTTGCTGTCCCCACAGCCAGGGTAACCATATAATTTCTCGTCCAAGCCAAATCACTACTGTGAGTTGAAGGAGAACACTATTAATAATTAAACTGGCCCAGCTGGTAAACCAGTAACATCCTGGGCAAAAGAGACCAAATGGCCCACCCTACATGTAGCAAAGGTGGTTGTTAAAAATGCAGAATTACAGGCTCCACCCGAGGTGGATGGACTAGATTTAGGGTGGGACCCAAGAATCTGCATTTGAATTAAGCACTGGAGGTGATTCTGTGCCAGGTTGTATAGAACCATGCCCCAAGAAGCATTGGTCCAGAGGATAAATGCATAATGCCGTAGGAAGGCACAGAGGCCCCTTCAAGATCTGGCCCCTGCCTTTCCGCAAGTCTTTTCCCTTACCAGTTTGCCACATCCAGTAACACCTACATGATTATACATTCCACTTCAATGCCCCAAAGCCTTCCCTACCCTGTTCCCTAACTTCTCATTCTTCACCATTCAGTTCAAATGTCAGCTACCTCAGAAGGCCCTCGCTTACTGACTATACTTGCCAATCCCCCCACCACTAACAAATAAATAAAGTACTCCACCTCTGTGTACTCACAATGTAGTAGATCACAACTGAGGCTGTGAGCTTTTTAGAAACTACTAACTTCTGGGCCTCCCCCCAAACCTCCTGAATCAGAAGCCTCAGGAGTGGGGCCTTGCTGTGTGGAGTTCTTTAAAAAGCTTCTCAGATGATTCCCACACATACCCCACCCAGAGTGTTTCCATGTTCACCCTACCTTAGCACTTACATTCAACTTAAACTGCTGGTTTGTCTTTTCCACTAGATGGTAAGAGAGCAAATATTCTCTGACTCTCCAACCCCTCAAATATTGCAAAGTATCCACAATGAGTAAAATCCTCACCATTCCAAGTAGTCTTAGCTGTGTTTCATTTTCAGTGAAGCTGACTACTTGGGTGATTAACTTACTAAAGTATACTGGGGTAATTACACTGGGGTAGAAACAGAGTATTTCTTGTTCCCATGCCTTTGGAAACTCCCCAAAGTTCAGCTCAGTAGTGTGACTAAGCCAAGCAAGAATGGACATCTGAACCTGATGGAGCGGTCTCTCTTGCCTAACTGCACTCTGGTGTCAGTGAAATAGCCAAGATGTGGGAATACTGGATATTCTGGAGGTGGGATAACCCATCCCTTGCATTGGGGGCATTAAGGTGGCCTTACTAGTTAAACTGTGTAAGAAGCTGTAGGCTCATGTGTTCACGGAAACATCGAACTGGTTCCTTCCAAGTGTGGAGAACTGAAAGTAAACGATTGTGTGTTGTCTATCAGAAGCAGTTTGGACATTTTCCATTCCAATTTTTCAAATCAGGGTATCTTTGCCTCCATGTAAACCAGCTCCGACACCCTAAGTTCCCACTCCTAACCCCAACATCAAAGACCCCGAGCATGGTGCTGCTGAAGTATGATGGTCTTTATACCACATGAAGCAAGTTCACTCTACAAGAGGAGAGCCCGGTGAAATGTCCTCCCCAGTGATTTGTGGCTGGAGCAAGGCCAGCCTAGGAGCAGTAGGAGGGTCACTGGAAATGGTTTGACAGCTGCAAAGCCCCTCAGGGGTGCAGGGAGCTCCTGCGCACAGGCGGAAGTGAGCCTGTGAGGGGCCCAGGGTGTTCGGAAGTGGTTTGGAGCCTCCGGGTGGACGGAGTAAGAGACCAAGGAGGGGGACGGTGCACGCCGATCTCAGACCGGCGCGCGCGGAGGGGACGACCGGGGCTCACGAGGGGCCCTCGGGAGTCAGTGCCTCAGCGGGCCAGGCCCCGCTTACCTTTCCAGGGTTTCCACGCTGGGCTGCTGGGAGCCGGTGGCCGGGCCCCCCGTG